CCTCGATGAAAATTTTTCTATGACACAATTTATTACCAAAGAAGACTCTCGGTGCCTCTTCTTCGTCTGGTTTTTCATGCAAGTCGAAATTGGATTTTAAATTTTTTAAGTTTGGGAAACATGTGTACTTTTAGAAAACAATTACCCAAATTCATAAAAAAAATTAAGAAGACTTTAACTGCTTCATAAATTTAAAATTTGTATGAAAATGTCACTCTATTTAAGTTTTTATGAACAAGGCCAAATATCTTTACAAAAAACTTTCAAAAACTCCAATGAGATCTATCATAATTATAACAGTTTTATTAGCGCCTTGAACCTTTACGTTCAAATTCAACTACTTGTAGCGATTGAGGGACTGGGTCCTCAATTAATACCGTGCCAAAATTATTTTGTTGTGTCCCATCAATGAAACGAGTGCCTTTGGTTTGCCAGCTCTCTCCTATACCCTTTTACTTGTTGTTGGTTTAAAAAGCTTGGCTCCTTCGCACACTTAACTGCATTGGTTAAATAATTTAGACACATCTCAGGTGCAGAACTGCTAACAAGTTTATTAAATTTTCTGAAAGCGTCCCTAATGCGGAATTTAAGATACTTTTTTTTTAGACGAGATTGTACATATTTGCGACGCCGAAATATTTTCTACATTAGTGACTATGTCCTAATACAGGTACGAAGTGATGTAACGAGCTCACCTACAAAAGCTTATGAAATGCTCTTGTTCCACTTCTACGACGGCTTCATTTCATGACCAAACGTTCCTTTAAATTCATGTTGTCGATCAAAGTGTACAGGGAGAATGAAAATTTAGCAATCTGAAAAGAGGAGTTCGTGAGTTGATACCCTTTTTGCAGATTCTCTTAATAACCCTCATCCACCGTTCGCACACTTACACTGAGAAAACTACTTAGTGTGACCGGAAATAATTTGCCTGCAGTCAGATACATCGGACGCTGGGCACGTTGCATGAAAAAAATCAACAGCTGGCGGTACTCTTTGCTTTGACCGATCCAATTCGAATGGAAAATCACATCCGACAGCTGATTGCTATCATCGATGAGGCATTGCGAGTAATAGCAGGTAGGAAAGATCTCCACGGTCACGGCTAATATGTAAAAGCAGGATGCGATGCGCGATGAGAACTCGTTCGCGAAGATGACAATGTTGATGAGAGTTGTGCCGATGCAACAGGCCGTCACCATAAACTGTATGAAAATCGTCACTGAAATGATGGGCGCAATGACGTCGTAAAGCCTGCGTTCGAAACACGTAATGATATCTGTGGGATTGTCATAACTACAAATCGAAACTTACTCGATCAACGACTGGTGGTCCTTAATGCATAACTTCAGCTCCCTAAGATGCTGATCCAATGTTAGCGCAGTATTAGTGCCCAACTTCTCAACGCGTAGTAGCAAAATTTTCATATGAGTACGCAGAATGTTAATGTAGATGACCGGATAGGCGTCATTTACAGTCTGTTGTAAGCAAGCGAAGTCCATCATGATGAATTCAAGTACTGACGCGATGAGAAATTCGGGCTTCGAACGACGCCACTTGAGAAAGGGGAAATACAGCGCATACGGCGGATGACCCATAACAATGGAGCCGAGGAACGTGCTGGCCGAGTAGCTGAGAAAGATGGTGAAAAAAAAGATGACAGCCTTTTTTCCGAAACGCGCCAATTTGTACAGTTCAGTGACTTCATCTGCGGCACGACAACGCTTGTCCAGCCGCTGAGTGAGCACGTATGTGGCACGCAGCTTTACCAACATGAAGGCCATAATTACGAGCTTGGCAGAACCGCCGTAGACGTCGAAGGTGACCTGCAGCGAAGTGAGCAGGTTGCCGATATTCACCTCCTCTGCTGAAATAGTGAAGAAGATGAGCGTAAAACCGATGGGTAAATAAATTGTACCCAACATGTTGACGAATAGCGAATAAAGAACGTAGAAGAAGCGATAGCGCGGTGGCATTATGACCCCCATATAGAATCCAGCACTGAAGAGATATTTAGTACTGTCCTGGCTATGCACCGGCAGATCGGCTAAATAGTATGAGAACGGCAAGTTATTTGAGTGTTAGAACTTGTCAAAGTGCCCAGGACACAAATATTTGATTTAGGTTCAAGTGGTTTTAGAAGCGCATAGTCATTGGCGCTTTTTCATCTTCACTTACCGTATTCCGCCTCCTCAGTTTCTTGTAATGAGTCCACCGGCTTGGCAGTGCTTAATGAAGCTAGTTGCTGCTTTTCAGCTTCCGCCAGTCGTAAAGCTAAACTTTGCTTTGATTTTGACATCATACTTATTTAAGCAACGCCACAAGTAGCCTAATTTGTATCTATGCAGCGCAGGAGCTCTAAAGAACTTAGTAGTAGGACCGTGTCGCCTACAAGTTCGAGCGGAACTTTTCGATCCTCACCCGAAAGATTAGCTTTTATTCGCTATATAGGATGTGCGAATATTACCGCTTTTCCATGCAGCGGAATTTGTGGGCGGATACGGTATTCCGCCCATTGAAAGGCACTTGCATAACTCATGCTTTAATTGCTATATTCGATGAGAACAATTGACACGTGCGCTCGAAAATTTCTTATTTTCAAGTGCAGACATACATACTGCACATATAGTTACTATGTCATATGTATCTACATTAGGTTGGTCAAAAAATGTACAGGGACATCAAGTTTTTCTGCTGCCACCCTCATAATTATAGAAAATAAAAAAGAACCCCGTTTTTTTTTTTTTTGAAATCGAAATCCATGTATTTTACATTTATAATAATAATGATAAATAAACCAGCGCTGCTCAAAATTTTTATATTGAAATGAAATCACAATACATCTGCAAAGTTTATGTGTACACTGAGATTTTTTTTATTTAAATAAAGCAAAAAAGTACAAGTTTATTTTTATTGTACGATTAGTGAATAAAAATTGTTAACAATGGGAGTATTTACATATGTGTGGAATAATACAGTGCCTTACGAAATGATAGCGACCTACTGGCTGAATAGTTCCAAAATTTAGTGCGAGGAGTCCTTGCACATAGTTACACCATATTGCAAGCTCAAATTTTACATTTTCCTTATAAAAGTCCCACTTTAAAGCGTTAATAAATGATTGCACCATTGAAGCAATATGCAATAAAATTTAATGACGATTGGGAGTTTCTCCAAAACTTAATTTATAATTTAACCTTTTTT